GTCAGTGCCATTAGGATGAAATTATTGTGTGCCCAACATTTTAACGTTAGACATATAATTTTAACAGCCTCTGTAAACTAATATCCTGGCTTACTCGAGGCTCCGTTTTCTCTGACAGTTTGAATCAAGATTAGAAATGCTGCTCTGAGACTGAGAGAACTAATAGTGCTGCCTGTTGTGCAGTTAGTTTCCAAAACACGTTATTCATGGTTACATACAATTTTAGACTGATGTGGGCCAAAGCCTAGCATAGCCTGTAACGTTATTGTGACGGACACATTTCATGGGTTTACTTGGCTTTAAGTGACTTGCAGGTTTCTTTGAAAAATACTTTCTTATATCCAGGTTCTTCCTTTGTGCTGCCATCCTCCAGCGCAGGCTTGCCGCTGCTAAAACTAAACAGAACTCCCTGAAAGGCACAGCCAATAACATTGGCCATATTTGTCACATGAGGTAGGACTCCAGTAGAGAACGTAATTTATCTCTTTCTGCACCACTGGGTGAATGAGACGTTGAAAGATCGTTTTTTTCTCTCTATCGGGTTTGTTTTTCTTTACTTGAAGAGATCAAATTATTGGTGGGGACAATTCATTAATCGCTGGATATTAGTGGGGACATGTCCCTTCCGTCCATGCCAAATCTACGCCTTTGTCTATACCAGATGGGAACCCTATTAAGTGAATGCATCAAAATCAACCAGCATCCTATTACTATCTCATTCATGCTTCCTTTAATAGGCAAATAAGACATACTTTATTTTTGAAGATAAAGCCATATGGTTTTATTACATTAAGGGACAAATCTGTGTTTGAGCAGTGCAAAACTTTTTTCCAATCCTGTTTTCTCTTTGCACTATAACTTAAGGAGCCCTTGGCAAAACACTTGGCTGAGATGCGTGGAGAGGTACTAAAAAAGTAATAAAGAGAAAGATTGAATGCATGGATTTAGGTGGGTGAATGGATACCACCACAGTTCAGTAATAATGTGGTAATTATGGGGTGATAACAAGAAGATAATATTGTGGAAATAGGAAGGTATTACCACCTAATTACCAAAGTAATATCCAAGTGACTGTCTTTTATGAACAGTTTGTTTAACTGGATAATTACAGGTCAAAGGCTTGGAGTGGTAATGCCCACAATGCCTTCCGAATCATGTGACAACCCCTTGGTTGTTGTTCTAGATAGCAATTAGCCTATAACCTGTCGTTCAGCATCGCCTCAGTCAAAACGCGCGATGGGTGCTTCGTCTTACGAAAATTTTCGTTTTACGAAGACTCTCGGGAACAAATTTATTTCGTAAGTCGGGGTTCCACTGTAGGCATATTCATCATGCTGTGAATTATGGGGTACGTGGGATAAAAAGAGGACATTATTTCTCAGTGAGTGCTCAGTTTTTAATAAGTTCTTTATTTTTGTCTTACTCAATTTATTAGTGAATTCAGAAATATATTTTAACTTTACAATGTGAAATACAATCATTTTAATCACTTGTAAGTAACAAAACCTCCTAAAACATCATCTTAGACAGTTATTTTGTCAAATCTGACTTACAGTCAGGAAAATTTGATGAGACTCCTTGACTCATAGGCACATATTTGTTTTACATTATTACTCACAGCTTCTGGAACAATGCAATATTACTCAGTTATAATCACTGTTGAAATAAGATCAAAGAACAAAGGATACTACTCACCCCATCTTCAGTCTAGCCTTGAGACTATTCAGTTAAATAATCAGACATTATGCCCCGAGACTCAGGTTTAATGAAGTCCATCATCATAATGTCAGAGACAGATTGTCTCCTGACTCTACCCAGATTTGAGATATTAAAGGTCCTTGGAAGTAGTTCCCAGGACCTCAAGTAATGAAAAAACATCTTCTGCTATCTGACACACATAGTCTGAAATTCAGTATTAATAACAGCATGCATTTTTAAGATTTACTTTTTTGGTCTTTGTGCTTTTGATACTGAGAGCCAGGAAGAGAAAAGAAGAGAAGAATCAAACTTGGGCTGTAGTGTAACCACTTGTGTTCATGCACTATGAACACAAGATGCATTGGAAAATACTTTCTACACACTGATCAACATTTGCAGCTTGGAAAGAATAGATAATAATAATTTATTGTAAAAAATCGATCTTTCTATGCTCGTCATTTTATAGTTTAAACACTGAAAAACCCTTGGAATAGAGATGTTCCAAAAGTGTTGAAATCTCTTGAATCACTGTTTAAACACTTTTTAAAGCAGCCGAAGGTTTTATCAGCTATAATTAACATCTCTTGTTAGCTTTTTTCTTTTTAAATGTCTATACATTGGTGGTGCTCTAAGAGCTTCACCACAAAATGAATGTAGCTCCTCTAGGCTCAGGGTTATGCAGGCAATATGCTTTTTAGACTGAGAGCTCACAGTCAACATTTTCATTTGAATATGGGTTTTGATCTAGTAACAAAAAATGACGCCAGCCCTCAAAGTACACTAAATAGCTCTATATGCACCCATAACATCCCCTGAACAGCTAATGACAAATCATTGCTTAACATATACATACATGAGACATTACTGATGTCCGTCTTCTTTAACCTATAAGAGCTCAGACCCATTTTTACTGTCAGGAAAACTATGGGTGAGTCAGTTTTGAAACTTTAACAGAAACGTTCCTCAGTGTGTAAAGGGGCAGTGACACCTGCGTTACTGTTGGAGCCTGTGGATTATTTTTGCTGGTGACAGTACAGGGTTTTGTTTCCTCCCCAGGATTTCGCCTCTCTGTTTCTTCGGGTCGCCTCGTCTGGTTCGTTTCCTTCTGGAGGTTTTGGCAAACAGTACCAAATCGAGTGCGCTACCAGTGTATGTTTCTTCACCTGCACGTCCTGGCTCCACGTTCCCATTCACATTCTGTTGTAAATACACTGTCCATGAAAATTCGCCCTTCACTGTAAATAAATTTGCTTCATTGCAGCTCTGTGCCTCCGTGTGTTCTGCTGTCTGAGTCCATCTGCATTTCCCATAACACATCGAAGTCAAACATCTAAAATCTTTGACCGTTCTGCTTTAGAAAGATTTTTCTAAAAAAACCCAACAAAAAACCAAAATCACACTGCAGGTATATTTAGATGTAAAAAAATATTGAACAATGCACCTCCAAAATTGTTTTGTTTTGTTTTTGCTCAAAACAGCTTTTGTGGTAAAAGTGATTTACAAAAATTGCCAATGCAAACTTATACCATTCAGCCACAACAGTGTGTAATTTTGTGCTCCCCTCTTGCTAAAACAGCTCTGAGCAGTCGATGAATGAACGCCACGAGACCTCCTGGGTTGTCAGGCATGAAGACATTAACAGTTGTTTTGGTTTTTTGTTTTACTTTAAACTGGCACATCCCAAATCACAAATCAAGGGAATTTAATGACCACATCAAAACCATCAAATTTTTCTTATATTAGTCAACTTTCCCGAACATTGCAGTTGATATTGCAGCATAGTTTGCTGAAAGAGCCCATTGTCATTTCAGAATACCCTGCCATGAAACATAGATGGTGAGCAACAATATTTATGTGATACCTCTTAATGTGTCACATGAACTCCAAAACCAACCCATATGAAAAAGATTTATATTAATCTTATAAAGTTTGTATCTGTCTTGTGTGAAACTTGTATGAAAAGCATAAAAGAGTGAAAACACATATAAGATCCCTTGAAAAAATTTATATGAATGAAACTTGTATGGTTTGGATAGTCTGTGTTCTCTCTGTCCAGTAGAAGAATAAAAGAATCAGGGTTCAATATTTACTAAAACAATATATGAAAGTAATGAGAAAGTGGCCACTTTCATGAGTAAATCATATAAGTTTTATAGGATTCATTATATGATGTAGACCACATCTTATGCAAGTCTTTTATAAGTTTTTTCCATTTCTTTTCCATATGGGAAAGCTTTCCCAGCAGAACATTTCCCATAGTATTACACTACCTTGGTCTGCCTAACTACTTCCAGTAGTGCATCCTGCTGCCATCTCTTCCTCTTGTAAATAATGCACATACACTCAGCTGTCAACATAATAGAAAAGAAAATGTGTTCTTCAGCCTTCAACCCTCCTTCAAGGAATCATCGTGCATCAGTGAGTCTTGGGTGCTCATGACCCTGTTGCTGGTTTACTTGTTTTCCTTCTTTAGCTCGCTTTTGGGAAAAATTCACAACAATCACTATTTTGGAAATGCTAGTAGTCCAGTTGTCCAACCATCAGAAGCTGACCAAGAAAAATGGGCACACTTACCATTTTCTCTTGTTTGTAAGTTATTTCCAGGTTGGACTTAAAAAAATGTTGATTTTTGCTGCCCAATAATTCCTACACACTGACAGATTGGTAATAATATAATCAATGTTTTTCACCTCACCTGCCATTGCTGTCCTTGTTGTAGCCAACAGGTGTATGCTGTATGCAGTAGCAAAAGTGGCTCAACATCATATACAGTTTAAACATTTACTGACAACACAGCTTTGATGCATTCAGAAACTCTACTGTAATCTTTGCATTTCAAGAAGGGAGAGATTTTTAATTTCTTAGCAAAAAACCCCCCAAAAACCAAGATGCTGACAAATACATGGAAAACATGATATGATAAAGCAAATTCTTTCCATTTAACTTATATGAGTTGCTTGCAATGGAGTGCTTTGGAGACACTTTGGAGCACATTGTCAGATGTGATACTGATTATTGAACTGCAAAACTCTGCAGAATGACTCTTGAGAAAATAAATATATCAGCTACTGTGAAGATTATGAGCTAAGCTGATTTGTGCCCAAACTTTGCAGACAGCATGCTTATGAACAATAAACTAAACTCGTAGTTATCTGAATTTTCTACTAACATTTTAGGATGTTACCTCTTTCCTCTGAATACACATTTAAAACTCTAACAAAACACAGCATGAATATAAAATTCGAGGTATACAAGTGCTAAATATTTAACATTGCTAGATGCTGCATTTCATCAAACTCCTTTACATTAGACTGCACATTCACAGCCATTACTGTACAGTGATTTCCAACTTGCAGTTACAGTATTTCTTTCCAAAGTCTATCTCCCTGAAAAAAATCCAAACACCCCCGGCATACTAGCAATGTTAAATGTACAATTAACTTTTTATTAAGACATTTAATTGTGAATGCTACTCCTTCTCTTTACCCAATTTAACATCTTGACTTATTGCACTCGTTTGATTTTTTTCTTGTAACTGTTATGGCCACTACTATTGCTGGTTTGAAGACTTAACTCTATAGTTTTCTATAGAGTTTGCCACTCTATGGTGGTAAAGTTATCACCACTTCCATTTAAGTTTGCACCTCTGTCGTTTCTCAGGTACTTTTATTGCATTACACTTTCTTGTGTTTCTGTGTAATTTTACAACTTTCTTTTATTTGTGCAAGTGCTGCAAAAGCATTCCCCTTGCACAGATTATTAAAGTTTTCTCATTCTGAAGGACTTCAAAAAGCTTGCAGTCATAAGTGGCTGGTGTTCTTCAATTTCACTTCACTTTGTAACTGCTGTCAGTAACAATCAGTACAGACCAATCATAGCCCTTCCCCAGCACTCCTGAACACGCTATTGTTATGACATTTTAAGAGAATGAGATATTGCACAAAATTATCCTTATAATTCCTCTTTTATTACAGTCTGACTCCAGAGCTCTGATAAGAGCATCCTTTAAATGTGCTTTCTAAGAAAGGATCATGAGTGTTTCTTTTCTCAGTAAAATATACAAACTCCCAGCTTCTGTAGATTTACTGTCATCTCTGATAGTTGCTCACATTTTTCAGAGACAGCCCTTTCTTACTGATCTATCATCTGTACTAGGCAGGCCAGAGTTAATGCTGGAGTCACGTTGAATCCACCTGGACTGGCAGACCGCCACTTTCCAAGTCTCAGTAAAACCACCTCTTTCTTTTTCACTGATCTCCTGGATGGGGACCTTAGGGTTTTATGATTATATAACCAATTGTCAGCATTCACGGTGAGCCACTAGTGAGACTACAACAGGTTTATTGTCTGAAGAAGGGGCTTTTGTGATATCGATAGTAGGTTCACATGAGAGCCCCAGTCGGGGGACTGTAGCAGCTGGTTGACCCAATGAGGCTACCATAAATAGGAATTCGTTAGTACGGCGGGGACCAGTTCCTGCTATTCCCCTCATGGCCTTGGTGGGGACCTTGGAGGAACTCTTTAAGCTGGAGCCTCTTCGAGGAGCTTCACACTGCAGCAGGGCTTGGAAGCACCTGTAAAACTGAGGCAAGCATACAGCACAAACATATGGTCAAGCTTCTTTTAAACTACACAGTTATATGCAAGAGACCACAGAGGACAAAACTTTATGAACTAAACACTTAGTTCTAATGTTTCTAGGCTGCATTTTATACCTTTTTCTAATATTGCTTTAAGGACAATACCAGCTTGATGCATTTTTAGCAAAGTTGCTGCTTCTTCAAAAGGGAAGTTTATAGTGACTCATAATCTTTATTTTCTTAGTCTCACTCTTCTCTCTCTTAATTATGAGTGTGAGCCATCACTGTATTTTCAACTGATGTAGGTTATTTGTGCAAAGGATCATCGGCGTAACTTTGTGTTGAACATTGGGGGTATCAGGGTCCTGGGTCTCCTGACCCAGCGTTTTAGTTCTTTGTGATTTTTGTATTATTGTACTTGGTGTGAGTTTCTATGGTTTCTAGTTTCGATCCCTTGTCTTCATGTTTCTCTGTCCCCTCTGTTCTGTGTAAGTCTGTGTCTGCATGTTTGGGTTCCCCTCTGTGTCTCTCGGTTCTTAGAGTCCTCTGCCTTATGGTTTATATCTCTGTGTTTCTTAGTTGCTGTCTCCACTGTGTCAAGTTCGCGTCTCTGTGTGATCCTTCCTGTTTTACTTTGTAGGTCCGTGTCTTATGTGAATGTGTCCTGCTTTGCTTGTCTCGTCAGTTCTAATTTCCCCCAGCTGTGCTCTCCTTCTGTGTCTCATTCTCCTCGTTACTTCCCAGTGTATTTAGACCCTGTGTTTCTCTGAGTCAGTGTTGCGTTGTACCCTCAACAAGCTGTGTGTGTTTTGCCTCCGTGTTACCAGTGAGTTTGTTTCCAGTTCTAGTTTCAGTTCAGTATTTCTGCTTCAGTGTTTTAGTCCACCAGCGTTTTTGTTTGTCTTTTGGTGAGTTTAGTTAGTAAGAGGTTTTACAGCAATAAAGCTGCACTTTAAGTTGAACTTCTGTGTCTGAGTCCTGCATTTTGGATCCACCACTCCTGCTTGCCCACCTGCCACACAGCCAACCATGACAGGGGGGGTGTCAAGATCTCTGTCTAAATAAGTAAATAAATCTGGGTAAATTCCCAGATGATGAAACATGCAACTATTTTACTGGTAATAACCAGTGATGGGAATAATGGTAATTAGTAATCTAACTAATTACTATTTCTATCGTTACAACGTCGTTACAGTTACTAACAAGAAAATGTGGTCGCGTTACTATTTTTCAGCAAACAGACGGTTGAAGCTGTCTTCAGCTTACCGCACCTTCAGTTGCATGGAAGTAGCTGTCTATGTAAGTAATCTGGGCGCTACAGCTATAAGCAGCTGCGCGCGGTCTTGCAGACAGCAATCACTTTCTGCCTGACGATCACTTTTTGGCACAACACCTGGAGCTAAGGGGGCAAAACAAACGCATGACTGCTGCTGTTTGACTGAGAAAGAATAAAGTAGTCGTGGTAAGCCAATCACATGACCACGTCGAGATGACAAAGAAACAAGGTGATATATACCAGTTTTTAAATTGTGCTGATAGGGCACGTAAAGCCAGAGTCATGATAAACAATATATACGCGGCGTTTTTTTCCTCAATAGTTTCATCATGTTTACTGTCTAAGGACAGCACTAGCAAGCACTCTCTTCTTATGAACAAGAAATGAAAAAACAAAAAACACCGCTTTCGTGTTGGTGGAAAAATTATACACCTCCTGCTGTCGGGGGGTGGGGGGGGCGGGATTACGCCCTTGCAAAGGATGGCAAGTGGAGGGTGTATCCAGGTTCTACTGTGTTACCTCTGCTGTGCTGTGAAAAATTACTTTATTGCCAATCAGATGCTCTCCAGATGGCTTTGCATGATGGATTACAGTCTGGTGGTATTTTAATTCTGTCAAATTTGACAAGATCCCCAACAAAGCCTCCACCGTGTTTTACAGATGGCTGTAGACTGTCACTGCTGGATCTCTCTCCTGACCTCTACTTATGGCTGTTTATTTACATTAACAATTTCAAATTTGGATTCATCACTCCATAAGTCCTGTTGCCACTGATTCTCACACAAGTTATTGTGTCATTTGGCATACCTCATCCTTACTTAGGAATGGCTTGACAGCTACCCTTCCACCTTCTTTTTTTAGGGCTACCATTTCTTCTTTCACCCCACTTGTTCAACTCCTCTAATATATAACACTATATTAGATTTATTGTATTCTGGCTTTGAGAATTACCTTGTTAGTGCAAAAATACTATTTTATTCCTGTGAAACTCTATCATCTTTAGCATTTTTCATAGATTAAAACTTAGTAAATTACTTCTCTAGAAAGCCAGGAGAACTATTACTTGAGCTTCTGGCTTCCAGTCTGGTTGATTGGAAGCAAATTATGAAGAAATAAAAGGGGTGTGTTGTATTTTAAAAGAAATGTTTAAATTTAAATGTGAGTTCAGTGCTTACTGTTCACACACACAAAAAAGGGGTGAGAAAATGGGCTTATTTTGTATATGTATTCTCATACGTGGTTATTCCAAATGTTCCCAATTAGGTTCTCAATGTGTTTTGTGCAGTGCCACAAATCATTTAGCACTTTTAACAACATGAAAGTTGTGCCAGTTAAAACAGAAAGTGCACTCCATGCTGAAGCCAAATCTGCTAAATGCCAAATCCAAAAAGTTTAATCATTTCATTAAAAGTTTGTACAGCAGGGGAAGCAAAAGGTGCTAAAAGACAAAACAAGAAGAAAAAGAAAACCTTCAGCACAAGGCTTCATTCAAGTGGCCTTTCAAAACCATGGATTTCTTCCTGAAGCCAATGCCCTCTTTTTCAGATTCTCACACACACACACACACACACACACACACACACACACACACACACACACACACACACACACAAATAATCACATTGTTAAGTTTATTCTGCTTTTACCACTTACATTTGTGTTTGTGGTCTAGCCTCCGTTCACCAGCCTTTGGGGTTTACCTTAAAAACTGTGGCATTGTCTTGCATTTCTGAAAGCGTTGGCTGTTTGATGTAATGAGGAAAATGTGAATGTGTAGCAAATAGAATGAATTTGATTTTTTTGTTTTTGTTTTAGGGAAAATAAAATTATATCATGCTGCTCTGAATAACTGACTTTTTGCATTAACCTTATTCGATGTAGGAATAATGTCCCATTGGTTTTGGAGCAGCACTGGCATCCACAATCATTATCTCCATTGTTCTTAATGCTGCAGAGTCAGCTTTGGATAAACATAACAACCCTCTGGAGACGAGAAATTGAGGACCTGTGGTGTCGCTCGGTCTCTGTATAACAAAATAGGCTGTAAGGGAAGAGGACGCTGACTCTGTAACTCTGAACATGAATGGTGTTAAATTAATGAAGCAGAAAACAAAGCTAGGGTTCATGCTGCGTTCACTGGGCTATTGGTAAGCTACTGCACTTTAGTTCCAGAAAAAGGCTGACTCTAGGCTGAGACCTGCCCTGCAGATCTACAAACAGAGGTGATCCCCTACTGTGTGCTGCTACAGAAAAACAAGGACTTCAGGCATAGCAGAACACACCCGAGCCCTCCTTGTACCAGGAAAATTACAGTCCCACTGCTGGAGAAATGATGGCTGGTCTTTAGCATTAGGAAGGGGTACAATTATGTACTCATCATGTAGGTGCAAGGCTAGTAAAGAAACAAAACAATCATTGGGGAAATGCTGCAAAAACTCCCAACAAACTCTGACATGGTGACGACAGGGTTGTGTCCACCTGGTGGACCCTAATAACATACATTTATCACTTTTTTGGGCCTGCTTTAATCAGAAGTTTCTTCTATTTTGTGACAGAGATGTGTTTGATGTGAGCTGTGACAAAATGAAAATGTCTCTGAAGTGGTGGGAGGCAAAGATCTCAGCACCTTTGCCTCTTAATTTTGCAGCTCCTGCAGTACTCTGTTATTACCAGCTCCATTACTGCAACTTCACCGGAAAGGCAGTTTAGATGTTCAGCATCTTGTTTGTGAAGGCTATAAGCATCGTTGTTCTTATTCCACAAACCTAATATCCTAAATCCATATTTGATGATGTATATCATATATTCGCTGCCATACACTGCCCTAGAGTAGAAGACAGTAGGAGACAGTGGATTTATATCTTTAGTTTGAGAGGTAATGGAGTGTTACCTTTCTATATGAGTGTGAGAGATCCAGACTTGCACTATTGAAAACTGGAATTAACATGCTCATCAGATGTTTTATATGGTGGACGTTTTAGACATGTACTTCTATTCTTTCTTCTGCATAATGCCAGGAGGAGCCAGTCAGAAGACTTAAAGGCTTAATTTAGAGAGGGGAAGACCTTAAAGAAGAACTAAAACAGCTTGATTCAGACTGTGGATGAATTGTAGGACTGCACCAAGGCCTAATATGAGATAAATAAGGTTTATTTTGAACTCTAAATCACTTATATAGTAAAGTCACTTTAAAGGTTGTAACATGGGATGTAAAAACTTATAAGTTATTGAAAAATGTGATAATCCTAAGATTCCACAGATACATAAAACATTGAAACAGTGAAATATTTTTGCGGAGTGTTGTTCAGTCTAATTAATTAACAGATAGTCCTTGATTAGGACATTTGAAAGAACCTCTCAGTTCTTCATTCATTTCCCAGTAACTACTCAGAGTGGGAAATAATAACAAAAGTACTGTTTAACATAATCATGGATTTTGCACTGTTAGGTTCTGCACTATAGTGTCACTGCTCTTCACAGGTAAATGGGATGATTGCAGGGCTTCACCTGAGCTCACGCTTCGGAATTATCACCAGTACATTCCAGTGCTTCTCAGCATATTAGCTTAATGGGCAATGAAAGACACGCACTGTGCAAAAAGCTGGATGCATGATTGAAGTTGCAGAAGAGCTTTACAATATAAAAGCAATCATAACTGCATTTCTCTGTAATCAAAATAAAGACATAAAGCTTTTATTAAATCAGCTGGTCTCTAAACATCACTTG